CTAGTTCTTCTCTTTTTTCACTTTGGCTCTATGAGCGCAAGAAAATCTGTCAAAACATTACCTGACTACTGAGCCTGCTACACCAACTTGAAGGACAATACAAAGCAGAGAACAGAGCCCTTACAAATACAGCTTTTGAGCCGGGGAGATGGCTCAGTAGAATAAGCACTTGCCTGGAAAGTGCAAGTGCCTGAGTTTAATCTCCGGTTCCGCCAAAAATATAAAAAAATTTTTAAAAATACAGCTTTAAAAATGTAGTAAACAAACAACTAGTAAAACCCAGAGTACGTAGCAGGAGGCAAGATGGGCCCAGGAGATAGTTCAGTGGCTTTAGTGCCTGCCTGGCAAGTGCAAGGTCCCAAGTTCGATCCCCAGTACAAGAAGAAGATTAAGAAGAAGAAGACAAAGAAGACAACGACAATGAAGATGAAGACGAAGAAGACGAGGAAGAAGAACAGGAAGAGGAAGAGGAAGAAAAGGAAGAGGAAGAGGAAGAAGAGGCAGAGGAAGAGGAAGAAGAGGAGGAGGAAGAGAAGAAGAAGGAGAAAAAGAAGACGACGATGATGACTGGCAACAAAGATTTTTGAGGCTAACATGATAATCACGATACTTTTATTTCAAAGAATATTACAGCTGGGCATGGTGGGGCATGCCTCAAATTCCAGCACTTGGGAGGCTTGAGTCAGGAGGATCACTGTGAGTCTGGTGAGCTGGTACTACATAGCGAGATCCTACTTCAAAAAATTAAAATTGAAATTAAAAATAAAACATTACAAAGCAAGAAAAAAAATGAGAAAACTATGGCTCATCCTAGAAGACCTCAATGAAAAAAATGTTGAGGAAGCACAATCAGATCTACTAGAGAGACATCCAAACCAACTACCTAAAACATCTTTTGGTAGCTAGTGGAAGCCATGGGCAAAGAGTTGAGCGAATGGAGGAAAACAAGGTCTCAACAAACACAGAATGTCAATGAAGAGATACAGATGACAAAATAAAAAAGTTCTGGAGCTAAGAAGAACAGTATCTGAAATGAAAAGTTCACTGGAGGGTTTCAAAGGTAGGCCGGAACAGGAAGAAAAACAACCCCTGAAACTGAAGTCAATTTGAAATTACCTAGTCTGAGAAGAAAAAACAGTGCAGAAAATTTAGCAGAGCTTTGGAACACAATCGTAGACGGGCCACCATCAGGTGTACCAACATATGCATAACAGAGCCTCAGAGGAGGAAGAAGAGAGCAGGCACGAATATCTGAAAAGAATTACAACTGAAAACATCCCAAATTAAGTAAAAGACGAAAAGCAAAACAAACTCCAAGTGGAATAAATTCAAGGGTCACACTGAAGCACATTATAATCAAACTGCTGAACGAGAGGACCTCAATGCAAGCACAAGGGAAGACGTCCTCACATTCAAGAAAAGCACCAGTTTCTCAGCAGAGGCCAGAAGGCAATGGCGCGACATATAAAAAATACTAAGACAAAAAAAAAAAAAAAAAAAAAAACAATCAAGAATTTTAAATCAAGTAGAATTGTTCTTCTTAATGCTATCTCTAGAATTAACACACTGAAAAATAAAAGCCCCAGGGATTCACTGCTAGTGGTTTTGCTCTACAAGAAATGCTAAAGGCAGTCAGCAGAAAGCACAGGACAGAAGACGACTCAAACAACACCAAAAAATAAAGAACAACATAAAAGTCACTATATTGCATTTTCTTCTAACTCCTGTTTTTGTCTAGATGATGTTAAATAAAAAAAAAAAAAAGGTAAAGTAGAAGACCACCAATTACATACCTATGCTAATGCCACACAACGTTTAGAGTGGGGATTTGTGGCAAAAACATGAAGAGTGAGAGGTAGAGCTGTGCATGAGCAGATTGTTTACTTCCATTGCACTTCAGGTGACGCCAATTCAGAGCATCATCGATCCTCATCATTCACCAATTCCATATTTGTGAGCAGTGCTCACTCAGTAAAATTTATTTGCAACTAAAATCAAAATTATGTAACTTTATTAAAAGTAACATTTCAGAGTTTGCACGTTTGCTCAGTTGTTTAAAGTGCCTGCTTTAGGGCTGGGGAGATGGTTCGGTGGAATAAGTGCTTCCCTGGCAAGCACAAGGGCCTGAGTTCAATCCCCGGTTCCACAAAAAAAAAAAAAGTTACAGGTAAAGTGCCTGCTTTAGCAAACCCAGTCAGGCACAGGGGACCGCAGTTCGATCCCCAGCTCCACATGCTGCACCAGACCTGCCCTTAAGGCAGCTTGAGCCAGCAAAAAAAAAAAAAAAAAGAATCCTTCTAAAGTAACACTTCAGGGGCCAGGGAGACAGCTCAGTGGGATAAGTGGCTTGCCTGGCAAGCACAAGGTCCTCAGTTTGATCCCTGGTACCACCAGAAAAAGAAAGTAACATTTCAAAAAATAATCAGAAGCCACATGCCACTATAAAGACAAATTAAAGGATGGCACAGATTAGAACAGACAATATCATTTTTTAATTGTTAAAAGGAGAAACAATGAACACCTGAAACGATCAATAGAATTAGACAAGCAAATGAGTTTGATGAGTCAGGAAATGGGGGAAGAAATTCACAGATAGCTCATGGCATCATTATCCAAGAAGTTCCACTATGAGCAAGTTAAGCCTTGACATACCTGTGGGCCACCCAAGAGAACAGGTGCAGTCAACAGCTGCAAATGGAGAAAAAGCTCAGAAAGGAGACTGGTCCAGAGATGAAATGCTTTCAAATATCAAATCACAAGAAGTCAGTGAAGCCATGAAAGCAATTTACTAATCCTACATCATACAAAGAAGAATGAAAGACAAAATCAGAGGGGATATACTGGATAGAGAGTGTAAGAAGAAGCTTTAGGCGTGTCAAGGAAGGGTAGGAGGTGACGGAAGAAGGAACAAGAGTAGAAGGTGGATGGGACGTGATATATGTGTGCATGCAAAGAGCACAGTGAGTCTCATTAATGTGTACCATTAATATATGTTAATAACTATAATTTTAAAAAAGTTTTCTTACTGAATTAACTGAAGAGCTGATGGGGAAATGGAGAAAAACTGTCCAAGGAGGAGGAAGATACAACACAAGGAATTGGTGCAGCTGACGGCACTAGTCCAAGCCCTCCTTCTTACCTAGCACCCCTCACTATCTTCCAACTAAAATTAGAATTAAGTCACTTCTATTAGAGCTGCTAGTAGAAAATCAGCAGTGACCTCAGGAACACGCAGTGAAGATGGGAGTCAGAGACGTTCCCGCAGAGAACAAAAAGTGGACAGAGGAGCCAGAGAATCAGCAAAGCAGTGAGGGAAAGAAAGGAACGGGAGGAGGGAGAGAGAAACACAGCAATTCCTTCATGAGAACAGCCCCAGTTTGTGTACAAGATTAGTTTCCACAAGTGATCAGCTCTAACACCTGAAAAACACAGTCAGCGCTTATATTTCCAGCGAGACAACCAGGAAAGTCTCCAATATCCACAACGATACCTTAGCAAAAGGAGGACAGAAAGACAGAAAGAACAAAGTAGAATAAAAATAGTTATCTACTGATGATTTGTCAATATCAATAATCATAAATAAGACAAACTAAACACATTATCCAAATGAAGTTTAAAAATCTAGTAATTACACATACAGACATTCGTCCACGAAGAATAAAACCATTTCTCTACAAAAGCTTTAGGACTAATATTCCCAGCAGCTTTATTACAATCAGGAAAAAGCTGGAAACATCAGGATTTGCCTAGAGGAATGGAAGACAAATCGCAGCAGCACCAGTGGACAGACCACTCTTCAGCAATGAGAAGGAGCTGGTGATGCACAACAACGTGGACCCATCTCAAAACCCCTTTGCCGAGCCAGAGAACTACATGTGGTTCATTTGTGCACAGGCCTAGAAAAAGAAAGAAGACAGAGATCGCCAGAAAGTGAATTGGTGTGGCACTGGGGCTGGGTGCGGTGAGGGAAGCTGTGACTAGTGGTGGGTGCGAGGCACTGCCAACAAGGGGTGACGGAAGCATCTGTCCCTCAACTGTGCTTAAAGAGGAACATTTCATTACATGTAAATTAACACTGCAATGAAGTTGAGTTTTTGAAAAACTGATCCAAATACTGTTTAGAAGAAATACACCTAAAATATAAGTTTGGTAATAAAGAAAGGAGGAAAAAAGAAAGCCCTGGAGAGTATTAATAACTAAAAGAATGCTAGTGTACCTATATTAGTAGGAGCCAACACCGATTTTGAGCAAAAGGGCATTTCTATGGATAAAGAGGAACTCTAAATAATAAAACAAGTAATCAGTAGTTATTTATTGTTTTAGTATCCAAAAATGTTTTTTAAAATAATACTTTTTCCATGTACATATGATAGAATTTTAAAAACATATTAGACATATAGTAATTCTCAATACATTTTTAAAACACATTACATATCCAATATTTGATAACAATAAAACAATATGGCTGAAAATGAATAACAAACATATAACCTCCTAAAATCCAAGTTATATAACATTTGAAATAAATATGTTTGACCCAGGAACTGCACAGAAATCACATGAAAATTAATAAATATATCATAACTGAATAATTAGCATACTATCAAATCCATGGAATATAAAGTACTTAGAAAATTATAATGTAATTTCAGACTTCATTAAGTCTAAAAAGTAATGACCTTAACAATCCAACTTAAATTAGAAAAAGAATTTTTAAAAAACAGTAGTGTATTAGTGAACTAGAAAACAGATATACATAGAGATGGATGATAGACAAGACAGATGAACAGAGAGATAATAGGATGCAGAGGCTAAAAATTAGTATTATAAAAACCTGACACCTCTAGGTAATCGGTCAAGGAAAACAGCAATGCATAAATATGTACTGTTATACATGGAAAAGGGGCTTAAGCTCAGGAAGCACAGAACTCTCCAGGAAGCCCGAGTGTCCCTCACTCACCACGTGTGTCCCTGGCCACCCATCATGCACTTTTCCTTACCGCCAACAGAAGACACACTTGTTTGCACAGGCCAGGCTCGGGGTGGTCTCCATGCAGCGATGGCTTTCGATGCCGTAGAAAGTGTGCTTATAGCAACCTCCTCTCCCCCGAAGCATGGACTATGACAAGCAAAAGATAAACTGTATCAAAGCAACCAAACAAAACACCACGACTGAAGAATAAACTATGTATTTCATCACCATAAATAGTGCTACTGTTACCTACATGATGCAGAAACTTTATTATTATTATAGTGTTTTGATAGTGCTCTGGGTTTTCTAAAATCTAATCAAATAAATCTGTGATTCATTAACTCTGAACGCTCCATAAGGAGGGTTTCTGATACTTCCAAGTTAAAGCCCATCAAAGTGCTCACGTCGTATTGGTGCAGCATTATATAATGCCAGGGAATAGACAACAAGCTCCTAAGAACTTGAGACCATTATTCATATGTGAAAGGACCCCTGCTTTGACTAGGGGTGGGAAGGGAAAGCGAACAGTAGCAGGATACCCTGTCACTCAATGGGCAGACTTACAGCATATTTGAGATAGTTTAGGGGACAAACAGCACATGCAAGTATAAGACACAGGTGAATCCAAACACTATTTAATAAGAAGAATGAAGCCATGTGCCATGAGTGACAAAAATCATGTAAGTCAGTTAAGTGTAAGAAAGGTAATTTGAAGGAATAGCCCAGGTCAACTCTGGGTTGGGATCAAAACACTATCAAACTTTTAAAAGCACAGCGGTCCCTCACTTATCGCGGAGGTTACATTCCAGACACCCCCATGATAAGTGAAAATCAGCCAAGTAGTGACATCATATTTTAGTATTTATATATATAGTAAGGCTTTATAAACCTTTCCCACACTTGTATAAACCTTTCCCAAACTTTTAGAAACACTTCTAATGTTCTTACCCATTTTCTAAACTCATAAACCTACAAAATTTTAAAAACATACGTGTATTGTACAGTACTGCAAACTCCACAATACAGCAAAAAATCCACAATAAATAATTTAGATTAATATTTTTTGAAAACCCAAGGAACAGTGAGTCTGTGAAAGTCAAAGTACAAAATAGCAAGGGACCACTGCACTATCAGACCTTAATCAAGGACTTGCCCACAATTACTGAGTACGAGGCTTCTCCTACTTGCCCCTCAGGTCCTGAGGGTGGAGCTTCTGGGCAGCCAAAAGTAAAGCTTCTGTGAAGCTGTATCCATCCTTAGCTGTTTGTTCCAGGCCAACATCCCTTACAGGAAGTAAATGGGAACTTAGAACTACTGCACTCATGTGCCCCTTTTCTCAGTGACCTAAAACACATCAGGCAAGATCAAGGAAAATTTCCACATGATCCCATTATGCATTCTGAGGTCTTTAGAGGACTTACTCAGACCTGTAAGCTAGATAGAGATGTAATGTTACACCTAAATCACTGCCTTCTAATGAGAGACAATTGGTACATATCTTAATCTGAGTCTCTTAAGTGTATTACAGATACCCAGGCACACACGTTCCCAGAGTAGATTTAAACAGAACCCAGCCAGCACTGATGTAAAGTTACCTAGTTGACTGGATAGAGAACCCAAAACATCTCGAAGACCCCTCTGTCCTAGGGCCAAGAGTTCTTGTAGACTATACCTGCCTTGCTCTGTCCCTGGAGATGATAAATCTCTTTTGTTGGCTAGCATTTTAGAACTTTTGATTCAGAGTCATTTATTAGAAAGTATAGTTGGAACACTTTCATTTTCTCACCCTCTTTCAAATGGTTAAAATGCAGCCTATCAGGTCCTTCCATTATTTGGTTTCATTTTCTGTTTGGCAATACATTTGGGGTCAATCATAACTTTTGTCTCTGGAGACCTGTTTTGCTAAGGATTAGAGAGCCACCTAGGAAACCCCTTCTTAACTGCCTTTCTTACACCTGAGATGGCCAGTATTTGATTCTTGTGCCACACTTGGAGTCCCTCTTCTGTTCCTTCTCCACTGGCCCACTCCTGAGAAATAACACAGTTCACAACAAGTTTTGACTGAAGACGATTCTTTCCTCTGTTGCTGTGAATCTCAGGACATGGCCGCAGAAGGGAGAGCACCCTGCCCCCACCCCCCATACTTGCTTCCAGAGTGAAGCTGATCTCACATCGTTTCTCATTTATCTTTGGGTCATACTCTAGAACTCATCTAGATTTAATCCTGATGATTTCAAAGAATAGATGTATAAGTTCTAGTCCGAAATTTACACAACTTTCATCTTCCTTTTAGTCCTTGGGGAAAATTATTCTTCTCTCTCCCCTCATGATGATGCTGACTGGTTTTTGTTTTTGTGGGAGTTGTTTTGTTTTCTTTGGATTTTTTGTAGGATGGTCTCACTACACGAGTAAGGCTTGCCTTGAGCTCACTTTGTAGTCCAGGATGGCCTTAAACTTGCAGCCATTCTCCTGCCTCAGCCCCTATGAGACAGAAGTCTGCTGTCCTGAGGAAACAAGGAACAAAAACCAGAGCCCAAGAAACTGGCCCTTTGTAATTCCGGCAAACTGAATACGAGGAGGCAATTCCTGGAGGTGCCCTGTGTGTTCTTTGCTCCTTCACCTGGGATACCAACTAGTGACGCATGTGAACTTAAGAGGTTTTTTGTTTACACCAAATTAGTTACACACATTCCTTAGCCTGCTTCTAACCCTCAATAAAGTGTGACAAGTTTCGAAGGCTCAAGACTCACATAGAAAAAAAAAAAAAAAGACTCACATAGAGTGAGACTAAGCTCATGAGTCCTCTACAGCAATATTAATCCAGTCCTCTCATCGTTTCCTTGGGCTCCACCTAATTTCATACAACACACCACCATGCCTGGCTACTTTTGCTGTCTTCTGCCACCTTGAACTGTTGCTCCTGTGCCATGCGATCCTGCCTTGGAGCCAGCTGATTAGGGACTGAAACCTCGACAAACTTGAGAGCTAAACAAACTTTTCCTTCCTTAATTTTGGGCATTGGGCATCTGTCTCAACAACGAGAGAATAATAGCCAAGCTATATGCTAACTGAGACTCTGAAACAGAACTACAGAGTCACAAGCAAAATGAGTACAACGGCCATAGGTGGAGTCTGCGGCAGGGCAGACTGGAACCTGGGCAGGCCTTGCACTGCTTCGAATTCATACTTAGCTCCAGCTAGTCTCTTCTACACCCAAACTGGCCTGCCCGGAAGTAGTTAAAATTCCTTCATTAGTTTGTCTCATTTGAGGAAACAGTCACATGTGGCTATCATAGCAGCAGTTTTGGCCATCAGCTGTGACCATCCAACAACTATGGCTAGCAAAGAAACAATGAGTAGCCTGCATACCTGGGTACTACAGTCAGACAGACCATCAGCCTGGGGCCCATCTTAAAAACTGTCTTTGTTTTCATGGGTGTTAAAAGTTTTATTCATTCTGATTCTTATAAGAGATCTCTGTTAATTGACCTATAAAAAGTTCTGACTAGTCTATTTATAATTACAAACTTAGAAACTATTGTAATAGGAAATTTTAAATAGTACATTCTTAATTGGGCCATCAGACTCAGCCAACCTTGAGTAAACTACCCAGCTGCCACTCAGAGATAATTTGAGCCAGCTCTATCTGACCAGCTGCACAATGGCTTGTAAACATGTCCTGTTTTTCAGCCTAAAGACTGTCTACCTGGGACAGGCTAGGCCCGCCAAGGACACACTCAATTGCACCCACTTTCCCAGGCCCTGACTTCCCCAAGACCTTCCTGCCTCATGATGAATGGCTCCCTCTAACGAAACCTGCCTCAGACACATCTGCCTGACAACAAATGACCAAATACAGGTACACAATTACAGACCAACCTGCTATCGACTTTGTACTTTCTGCTTACAAAATGTATGTAAGTTACTATTTTACTTTAAGCCGAGGATGGCGATTTGGGCCTGGTTCCACCAGCCCACCAGCATTGATAAAGTCAGCTGCTTAACAACTCCTTGGTGCAGAGTGTTTTCTATCTGATTCAGAACAGATTCTGCAACACTGTAAGTTATTATAATTCAACTTGGCCAAATATACCTGGTCTATTAACAGCTGTCTTATGTGTGCTATCCAATTTGTGAGTGGTTATAATACTTATGAGTGTTTTTGATTCAGTCCCACAATTTTATTCCTCTTTTTACTTTTTTTGGATTTTTAAAATATGCATCTATAATTTAAATTGACTTGCAAATGTCATTAAAAGTTAACTTTTCCTTAACTTTTAAGGACATGCTTGCACCCAGGTTGCCAGCTTCTCAAAATAATGTCAAGACTGCTTTTATAAATATAAATATATTGTTGCCCGTACACAATAACTTGAGGATCTCTCCCTGGCCAAGAATAATGTGTTAACTAGTATAATATGGTTCTCATAGTACATCAAAAATTTGTTAACAATTCAGGGCCCACCCGATAGCTAAGTGGACTAAAGTGCCTGCTTAGGCAGGTGCAGGGACAGGGATTCGATCCCAGCATGCCATTCCAGCCCCACCCCCGGGGCGTGCTGAGATAGTAAATGAAACTAGGAGTAGTGGCGCACACCTGTAATCCCAGCACTTGGGTGGCTTAAAACAAGAGGATCCTTAGGAGTCCGATCTGTGTAATGAGACCCTGTAGACCCTGTACCAAACACATTAAAAAAAAAAAAAAAAAAAAATGTTAACCATTCAATCGGAGTCCCTTAGGCTTAGGGAAACTGCTGGACAGGACTCCCCTTGGCAAATAAAGAAGCAGCTGCCAGGAAATACTTTCTTCCAGTCTTTTTTCACTAATGGGAACCCAATAGTTTCCATAAGCTTATGGAAGACACCCCAAGAAACATTACTAAGTACTAATGTGATATGCTTATACTGGCCATTGACAAAAGGATGAAAAGCAGTGAATGACATTCTAATTAGATACCAATTATCTTGGGTTAAGGACTTTAACCCACCCACCCTTTCAGGAAAGTCCTTGTCCATTCCATAGGTGCTTGCTATGACATGCTTCCCAATTTAATCCCATTGAATCATTATTACCTAAGCAAATATACTTGTTGAACTCTTACTGGCTGACCATAGTTCGTCCCACCTCACATAACCTTGACTTCCTT